GGTGGGAGGGGGATAGAGACACGGGCAGGGGGGTTGGCGCGGTTCTAAAGAGGGCTCCTATTACCCAACCGAGTAATAATACCCTCGTCCACATGGACCAAGGTGCACAAATCGCCTTAACGTGTCGCCCTGAAAGGGGAGCCAACTTCCAAAGTTAGAGACCACGCAGTTGAATTTCCAGTACTTTCCAACCTCGCCTAGGCGGGGACAGGGCCGAGAAGGGGCGGGCAACGGCCAGCGAAGCCCACCCTACCGCTCAGCCAAGGAGGACTCACCAGTTGAACCTTCCCTCGCCCCCAGTAGTTAGCTGTGTATTCCCTGGTTGCGCGTACACACACACATACACACACACACTCCGATACCACCTTCACGTCTGCTTCCTTCAAAAAAGACTGCATTTTTTAAAACGCGAGGAAAATGACGGAGGTCGGTGATCACATTTCAACTCAGAGCAAATTTCTCCAAACCACGGTGCGAGTAGTCGCACACACATACACACACGCACACACTCACACTCACACCCAGAAGCGCTCTGAGCGTCCACCCGCGCGGCTGCAGCCTCCACTCGCTGGGAAGGGAACGTCAGCACCGCTGCAGGGCGGCGGGCGAGGAGAGGCGAGCGCCGCGCGGGCTGCAGAGGGCGCGGGGCTGGGGTCGCTCTCGCGTTCCTCCGCTCCAACCGTGGCGCACGCGGGGCCGCTGCAGCCGGTCCTCGCCCCGCAGGACGGGCTGCAGGGGCCAGAGCCGGGCGCCGCCTTCCAGGCTCTTCCAGCGACCGCCGGGGCCCAGGGGCAGGCTGGTCTGCAGAGGGGCTGCGGACTCTTGGGCTGGGGCGGGGAAGGGGATCCCCGCGAGGAAGACGAACCCGGGCGCGCCGCCTCCCTCCCACCCGCAGTCCCGAGTCCCGGACCCGCGCCCACCTCCCCACTCTCCCCTAACCTTCGCTCTCAGACTAGTCCGCGGCGGGCTCCGGGGGCTGCGGCGACCGAGGCTCGGGCTCCTCACTGGCTCGCCTCGCCGGCAGCCTCCCGCCCAGCCTCCCTCCCTTCCTCCCTCAGTGCGGGCCGAGGGAGGAGAGCGTCTCCTGGAACCCTGGGCGTCCGTGGAAGCCGCCCCGACCCCGCCACGGCCAACGAGCAAAGAGGGGCGAGGGAGCCGGCGAGATGCCGCCGCGGTTCCCGAGGCGCTTTTCCGTAGAGCGGAGCGCGCCGCCTTACCGTGGCTGCAGGCTGCCACCGCCGGGGAAGCGGGGAGGAGGGCGGCAGGGAGGCTCGGCGCCGCGCGGGTGGCTCCTCTGGCGCTCGGCGGCGCGGCTCCTCGGCTCCGCGAGCCGGAGCAGGGCGCCCAGGAAGGAGCGGGTCCCGGCTCTGCGCTCAGCTCCAGCGAGACCAACAATAGCTCCCGAGGGGAGCGGAGCCCCAGCGAGCCTCCAGCCGCGCGCGCACGCCCGGCTCCCGCTCCCGGCCGCTCCCGGCCGGCGTCCCTGCCAGCACTGCTGCCCCACATGAAACAGCTGCAATCCCGAGGCTTCTGGGGGGGTTGGGGCGGGTGTGTGCGCGCGCGCGTGTGTGAGGGTGTGTGTTTAATAGCTTCCCTCCTCTTCTTCCCCTCCCTGCCTGCTCGCCTGCCTGCCTCCGTTCCCCCCCTCCCCCCGCTCTCTTACAGACAGAGAGGGCGAGCGAGAGAGACACACACACACTCACGCGCACACGCAGGTTACATGAATGGGAGGCGGGAGCCAATCCTGCGAGGCTGGGCGAGCCGCGGCGCACGGGCGCTGCGAGCAGGGCCGCACCACGGCGCGGGGGGGCGCCACGCAGGTGACGCGTGCCCTCCCGGGGCCCCTCGCCGCCTCTCGGCTCGCCCCAGTCTCTGTGCTCTCCCCGATGGCTTCCTCTCTCCCCCTTCCCTCCTTTCACCCCGCTCCTTTCTCCATCTTCGCTCCCTTTTATTGCCTTTCCTTTCTCGAATTCTCCTAGTTGTCTCAGTTCAGTATCTTCCTCGGTCTGCTCTTTTCTCTTACCGTCTTCGCTCGCTCAGTCCCTTTCTCAAACTTTCTCCTTCCTTGTCCCGACTTTTCCCTACTTCCTCTCCTCCTGTCTTTTGTTCTCTTTCCTCCCGCTTTGGCCGCACCCCCCCCCCCCCCCCCCCGTCTCTGTGGTGTTGTCTGGTCTCCTGCCCTCCCCCTCTTCGCCTGTGCCCTGGTCTCTCTGGGGCCGGTGGCCTCCCTCCCCGCCTGCCCCCTGATGTTATTTCACACCCTCAACACTTTTCCAGGGACAGTCCCTCTCGCGTTGCTGCTGCAGCACAGCCAGAGGTAATTAAGAGCTGAGAACTTGAGTTCCTTCCTCAGGCTCACAAGATGCCCAAAGAAAGGCCCTCCCTCGGACAACTTCCCTAAAACCATGGTAACAGCTACTCAGTCGTGATAACAATCATTTAAAAAGTAACTGCAGAGAACGTGGTCCAAGAGATTTGTCCTTTGCATTTCTGGACTGTGATCGCCAGCACATTTCGAGAAGGGCATTTTCATGGGATGGGAGAGGCAGCTTGGTGCAGTGGCAACTTGCAAGGCTTTGGAGAGAGACTGGAGAAATTCCCACAGCAGCCCTGCTGCATGCAAGCTGTATGTCTTCGTGCAAGCCATTACCTCTGGCCCTGCCTCAGGTTTCTCCTCTGTAAAATGGATAAATTATACCTACCTCACCCGTTATGGTGACGGTTAAAAGAGAGAACAAAGGAAAGAAAGCATTGCGCACTTAGAAGTTCAAACATTGTGACTTCCTTTCTCCTCCCCCCATCCTTTTTAAAAACTCCCTCCATGATCTTCTGCCACATTATATCTCCACAGTCTAAAGTGTGCAATGAAGGAGGAAATGTGACAATGTAATGTTATAGAAATGTGAAGCAAGGTCTAGGATATTTTAAAAACTCTATTGTATGAACAGGAGATTGTCTAGCCAGCTGATTACAGAGGCATCACAGAGATTATAAATTTGGGGTGCTGGGATGCCCCTTCAACATCTCCTAACTAAGGCTTCCCGGAAAGTCGGGGACGACGGTAGGAGTGGTTGGGGGGTTTCCATGCACTCTGTCCAATCTATTTTTAAAACCTTCATAACTGAACACTGACCAGTGACAAAGCCTCTGAGACTAACTAAAATGTCAAGTCTCTGCCTTTGGATAGCATTTATCAACTTCGTGTCCTCACTACAGATATCAAATGCTTTCCATAAGCTGCGATGGACAGGTAGATTCAGTCCTTTGACAAATATTTGTTGACCACCTACTCTGTGGCTGGAACTGTGGTGGGCTGTGGGCGTCCAGCCGTGAGGCAAGCAAGCCTTGCCTTTGTGAGCTGACAGTGCAGTAGACATGTCTGATGAATGTGCAATAGGGAAATGAATCACATATACCTTGAGAAATATCATTTGTTTGGTGGACAGAATCTTTCAGTATATGAGGTCCGTGGCAGAGGGGATAATAAAGGAATCCTTGAGTGAAAATTTTGGAATCCACTGTTCATTCTGTGCACCTCATTTGACTGATGGGAAAACAGAGCCCCAAGCTAAAAGTAGCAGGTGAAAGTATGATCCTCTCAAAGGATCTTTGATTAATTTCAAAGAGAAAAATTGTAACTTTACAGTTGAAAAACCGGCCAATTCTGTCTGAAGTAAATAATAAGTCAGGATCACTGGTAATGTGATAGGTGGTCATCATGTGTCTCCTGATGTGACACAGTGAGAGGGACAGAACCTCACTTCTGTGGTATTCCTGCCAAAAATGAAGAACCTGAATCTAATCATGAAGAAACCTCAGATACACCCAAATTGAGGACCATCCAATGAAATAACTGTCACATACTCTTCAAAAACACCAAAATCAGGAAAGAGAGAGACTCTGACAGTTCTAGATTAAAGGGATTGCTTAGCTGTCATGACAATAAATGTAACACATGGTCCTGGACTGGGACATTATTGGGACAATGTTAATTTCTTGATCTTGATACTTACTATGTTTAGGCAGAAGACTTCCCTTGTTTTTAAGATCTACACAACTGAAGTATTTAGAGGTTTAAAAAGATGAAGAAATCCCTACCTTCAAAGAGAGGCACAGTATGATGGGTCTCTGCCTAAGGAATAGGCAGAGTGTGAGCACAGATGGCTCCCCAACCAAATTCTTGTGGGTAAGGGAAGACTTCCTGTAGGAGTTCAAGTTGAATTTCGAAGGCAAGAAAGTTAGCTAGACCATAAGGGAAAGGAGGTGCTTTCTAAATAGAGGTAACCGTATAGGGACATGGATGAAAGCATGAGGCAGATTATGGCCTCAGAGTTGGCGCATGAAGGGAGTGCCTGGGACAGTCTAGACAAGATCAGGTTGGATTTTGAAGGGGACTCAAATGAAGCTAAAGAACTCAAACATCTTGAAAGCTCAGGGGTAGGGTGGGGATGGGGAGCAGAGAGTTATCAAAGACTTTTAAGTAGAGGAGGCACGTGATCCTAAGTATTTGAAAAAGACCATCTGGCAGCTGTGTAGAGAAGTGGATTAAAGGCCGGGAAGACCAGAGATGCTGAATTTGGTCATTTAGGTAAACTCAGGAATTGCAGTGAGGATGGAGAAGGGAGGAGAGATTTAAGAGAGACTGAGGGTGTAAATGAACAGATGTTGATGACTGGCTGAATAGGGGTGGGCAAGGAGAAGTCCAAAGTGACTCCTAATTCTCAAGCTTGCCTATCTGGGTGGAGGGTAGCACTCTTCACTTCCATGTCAAGAGAATTCAGGAGGACGTGGAGGTTGTAGAGGGGAGAGTAAGGTCAGCTGTTACTATGCTATAATCTAACTCTGTAGCTGGCTTGATATTCTCTGGTATGGCTGCTCTGGCCGCAGGAAACCCAGCTATAAAATTCAGCCTAAGACCCTCCCAACGGCCATGCCCACGTATTATGCAGAAAGACAAACAAACAAACAAAACCAAGAGATGAGATATAATAGCAGCACATTATTTGTAATAATGGGGAAAAAATCGAAACAACTTAAATCGTCAAGTAGGATAAGCAAGTTGGGGGACAGCCTAGTCAGAAGATTATATAGCCACTCTAAAGTTGTTCTTTGCAGAGTTTCTCAGGCCATGGAAAAATGCCAATGCTATCATGTAACATTTTTAAAAAGCAGATTTCAAAATTGTTAACGGCACAAAAGTCTTCCTGGAGAAAAATCTGAAAAAAAAACAAAACAAAAAAACACCTCACCAAAAACATGCCAAATATTAACAATGGTTCCCTCTGGGTGATAGGATTGTGAGTAATAGATATTTTCTTTTCCAAGCTTTTTGGATACTTTCTAACTTTCCCACAATGAACATTCATTACTTTCATAACGAAAATTAAAAGCTGTCATTTAAAAAAAAATGGCTGTGAGCCCCCTCTTCTACTTTATCCCTTTTCAATCCACCCTTCCCACTCCCCCCGAAGACTAACCGCCTTTTAAGCTTTATCTTTGAGAGTGAAATAAGAGGGCATTTAACAAATCAGGGGAAATTATCAGCTGGGCTGAAGAGGGGGAGGCGTTCTTTCTTACGTACGCAGATATGTTATTAGAGCTGTTGAAACTGTATATATTAAAGAGGTTTGCCTTGCCCTCATTGATTCTCTGCTATGTTACCAGGAAAAGAAAACCTATAGTGGGGAAGAAAGTGTGAGCCTTTAAAGGGCAAGTTTTAATTATGAGATGTATTTATTTGCAAAACCTCTTTTCTTCATAGTCCAGCAGTTACGGTAAAATTGTTTCAGAAAGCAGGTATTTCAGGCAAGGAGACATGTGGGGGCAAGGGGCAATGCTTCGTGCCTGTTGTCTGATACTGCATCAGATACGCAAACTGGTTACATAGGACTGGGACACCCACTGATAAGCTCCATCAAACGTTCACAATTAGAGGGCAAGAAGAGTGCGCACCCGAGGATGTTCTCATTCTTTGGAGAGGTTGCTGTAAACGGCTCCCTGGCAAGGTTCCCTCAACATTGGTGATTTTTCAACTCACAGAAATGTTTACTATGTGCACAGGTTCCCCAACCTAATAATAATAACTTACACGAGCAGAGCCCTTCATCTTTTCAAAGGCCCTCCACATCTGTTGGTTCACTCAAGCCTTGCACCCCCGCCCCTCTTCCCACTAGGATCCTGTTACTTCCAGTTTGCGTGGGAGGAACAGGGTCCCAGAGAGGCAGAGCAGTCACTAGAACTGAAGAAAGAACAGGAGACATTCTTGGAAACCCCTCTATATGGCTCTGGCACTTCCCCTGTGAGTTCCCTTATCAACTCCTCAAGGTAACTTGGGAGGGAGGGTGAGGAAACTGGGGTGTGTGTGCTTCTGGCTCAACAGAATCAGAACGGTCTGCACTCTCCAGAATTCCAGGACCATGCCTTTCCCAGCATAACCCCATTTTTAAAAGCCAAGGGGTGAGGCTAGGTATTATTCTCTGGGAGGTAACTCGGTTTAACCTGTGAGCTGTCTTTCTGGGAGGTTTATCTAACCTGTGAGCTGTCTTTCTGTCTTGAGGGAATTCAAAGCTAGTATTTGGGGGTTAACAATGACTTCTGAATGTATCTGCTAGAAAAGGAGAAAGCCTCTGCTTGGTTTCCCACACATCTCCTTTTGGAGAAATAGTTGGATCTTTCTCTTTTCCCACCTTCACTCCAATGTTCAGCAGAGTATTTGGTACTTAGGGGTTCTTAGTAAATATTCCTGCATGGAGTGAAGAAACAGATACTAGTAACAAAATAGCTAGCATGTACTGAGCATTGTGCCCAGGACTGAGCAAAGGGCATTATCTCATTTAAATTTTAGAGCAGCACCATGTGGTAGATATGATTATTGCCCCTACTCCATAGGTGAGAAAACTAAGACATAAAGAAGTTAGGCAGTTTGTCCAAGGCCCTAATGATTAATAAATGGCAAAGCCAGATTCCAGCTTAGGTTGTTCTGAGTCCAGGCTCTTAGCCACTATACTGTATTGGATCGACGGATGAATGAATGGATGGATGGATGGATGGATGGATAGATGGATGGATGCATGGGTGGATGGATGGGATTAATGGCACTGGCAGTGAAGTGAGCTCTCCATGAACCCCTGCAGTACGTTAGATGTTGTGGTTAATCTAGTCTAGAGCAGGCCATCCTGTGACTTTCCATGATCGCATCCTGTTTATTTCCTTCATGATGAATTTCACAAGCTGCAATTACATGTGTATGAATTTGTTTTACGTTTTCTTTAAACATCTGCCCAACTTGCAATATAAGTTGCAAGCTCAGTTCCATGAGTGTCTTGGTCACTGTTGTGTTCCCCAGCACCTAGCACAGAGCCTGGCACAGAGTAGATAGTTCCATAAATATTTTTGAAATGAGTGAATGAATGTGGGCTCCCATCATTCTTCAGGGGTGGAGGGCCTGTGAGCATGCATACATGAGCACTTGTGAAAGATGTGTATTTTACATCAATTTACTCCAGTCCCTGCCGATGCTTACTTTCAGCTTCGGAGGGCATGTAGTTTGGGCAGTGGGGCTGCGATTCATAGGAGCACATAATGGTACTGATTGTGCTCCTCCACGGACGTTTGCACCCAGATAACAGGGCAAACACTGATCAGAAAATAGCAGCATCTGTTTTGGTCAAGATGACTAGCTGGCAGAATTCCATGGTGGAAACATCCTCTCTGATTAGGTCTGCCCCCGCTTTCACAGCAGAGAGGCGTTACATCAGCTGACATCACTTGCATAACATTTCCGTTCCGAGGGCTGCTGGCAATGGTCTCCTCCAAAGGGGGTCTCCTAAAGCTTTCCTCCTGCATGCTTAAGGCCACGTGATCCTTTCCAAAGATGATGCCTCAGCCAAGGCCTCCTTTCTTGCTAATTTTTGTCCTGTCTCTTTTCTTACTTGTCTAACAGACTTCTTTGTCACTTGATGTGAATTTGCCCTTTTGGGATGCCTGGGTGGCTCAGATGGTTAAGCGTCTGCCTTTGGCCCAGGTCATGATCTCCAGGTCATGGGATCGAGCCCCGTGTCAGGTTCCCAGCTCGGCAGGGAATCTTTTTCTCCCTCTCCCTCTGCCTCTCCCCCTGCTTGTGTTTGGTCTCTCTCTCTCTCTCAAATGAATGAATGAAATCTTAAAAAAAAAATTGCCTTTTTTTCTGCAGGGTAGGCCAAGTGGCAGATGCTGGTCCTCTACAAAGCTAAATCAGATCCATTTCCTAGTCTTAGAATTCTGCAGCCTTTACTGGAACTGCTTATTGGTCCAGAGGCCATTTGCCCGGAGGTAATCAGCAATGTAACAGACAAAGTAAATATAAAAGCAACCACAAAGGCCTTCACTAAATTGCCAAGCCCCCATAGGGTGATTCTTATGACTATGATACCAGACGCTGACCTAATGCTTTATACATAGTCATACATTTAATCCTTATAAACGTCCTACAAAATAAAGTATATTACTACTCCCAAATCAGAATATAATCCAACATTCCTAGGCCTTATCAGCCTGTGGGACAAAAGGAGTAGCTTTAATGTTAATTCCCAAATAAACACTATTCTGGCCTGCATACTACTTTTTCCATATAACAATATACCTTGGACATAACTGCATCCTCCTTCTTTTTTATGATTGCATACTATTTCATTATGTGGGTGTACCATCTGAATTTAACCAGAGAGATCATGGTGATTGTGATATATTCACTTTTTTTAAAAGATTTTGTTTATTTATTCGACAGAGAGAGACACAGTGAGAGAGGGAACACAAGCAGGGGGAGTGTGAGAAGGAGAAGCAGGCTTCCCAAATTACAGTGAGCCTGATGCGGGGCTCGATCCCAGAACCCTGGGATCACGACCTGAGCCGAAGGCAGACGCCTAATGATTGAGCCACCAAGGCGCCCCCTGATATATTCATTTAAATAAATATCAAGCACTTAACCTGAGATTAGGTCCATACTAGCTGCTCAAAAATGTTAAATAAGGGAATTAAATTATATTATAACTATCGGGTCTGTTGACTCTTAAAAAAGAAGCAACCCAAAAGAGGTTGAAGTTTCAAATCAGTTGGGAAAGGATGAAGCTTTCAATTAACAGTGCCATTGTAACCAACAAATCATTTTGGAGGGAAAAAAGTTAGATCCCTGTCCATTATAATATTCCTTTAAAATTTTTCACCCTGAATATAAAAAATGAAAATAGAAAATCCTAGAAGAAAAGTAGGTGACAATTTAAATCATTTTGGAGGTGAAGAAGGAAACCATGTTTAAGTGTGACATGAAAAGGAAAAAAAATGTTAAGGAAAAATGTCAAAAACTTGACTGTGTAAAATTTTTGAAATGTTCGTGTATTTATAAAACCAAGACAAGAATCAACGGAACAAAATGTTGAGGAAATATTTGAAACATACACAAAAAAGTGCTATTATCTTTAACATATAATGAGGTTTTACAAATGAATAAGAAAAAGACATCTCAATAGAAAAGTAGGCAAAGAACATAAAAAGTTAATTTACCAAAAAAGTACCAAGCTAGGCATATGATATATATTTAACTCACTTGTAACTCCAAGAAATGCCAGATACAATAATATTCAAAGTTTTTTTTTCTTTTTGCTTATCAAATGAGAAAAGTATTAGAGAAATATGACATGCCCAGAAAATAGTTACTCTCCCTATATTGCCAATGGGTGGATATCAGCACAACCTTTCTCAAAGAGAATGTAGCCACATTCACCAAAAGCTTTCCATTGTATGAAGCTTTCAGCTCAGGAATCTATGTCTACATTTAAGGGAGTTAATTAAGAGAAAATAATCATGGATGGTCTTATATAAAGAATTATGTAAGAGAGTTTTATCAGTGTTAGTAGTAATAGCAACAAATTGGAAACAATCTAAGTGTCAACAATTAGTAAACAATCAATTGTATTATGGTACGTCATAGTATGATGAACTGTTATATAGCTATTATAGACCACGGTGAGAAAATATTTAATGAACTGAAAAGAATTTACAATACATATTTTTGTGATCTTTCTTTAACTTATTATAGAAAATGTGAGACAAATACAAAGTTTGGTGAATAAATTATACCCATCACCTAACTACAATGATTATTATTTTTTATTTTTATTTTTATTTTTATTTATTTATTTATTTATTTTAAAGATTTTATTTTATTTATTCATGAGAGACAGAGAGAGAGAGAGAGAGGCAGAGGGAGAAGCAGGCTCCCAAGGAGCAGAGAGCCCGACGCGGGACTCGATCCCAGGACCCTGGGATCATGACCTGAGCCGAAGGCAGACGCTTAACCATCTGAGCCACCCAGGCGCCCTATTTTTATTTTATTTTTAAGTAGGCTCCACACCCAACGTGGGACTTGAACTCATGACCCTGAGATCAAGAGTTGCATGCTCGGCCAACTGAGCCAGCCAGGTGGCCCTAAATTCAATGATTATAAAATTCATGGCCAGTCTTGTTTTATCTATATTCCTCCCCACTTACTGCCTCCCCCATTAGTTTGAAGAAAATTTCAGGCACCATTTCATTTTGTCCATAAATATCTTAGTAAATATCTCTAAACATATGAACTATTTTTTTAAAATAACCACAATATATCATTACATTTTAAAATAACAATAATTTCTTGATGCCATCTAGGGTCCAGTCACTATTCAAACTGCCCTGATTGTTTCATAATAAATATTGTTTCATAAATCTTTATTTCTCCAGTTTGCTTGTTTGCATCAGAATTCACACATTGCAATTGGTTGATACATCTACTAAGTCTCTTTTGATGGCTCTTCCTCCATTTATTTTTGCCCCCACTTGTACATTACTTCTTAAAGAGATAGGGTTGTTTGTCCAAGAGACAGGGTTGTTGTCCAATAACCTGAATTTACTGAAGGCACTCTTCTGGTTTAACCGTTCTTCTACAACTTGTATTTCCTATAAATTGGTAGTTAGTTCTAGAGGCTCGACCCAATTCAGAGTTAATTCTTTTGGGTAAGACTGTCTAGATGTTATTGGGTACTGAACCTGTCTTTGTGATGTTAGTAGTCTGTGATACTCATTGACTAGATTCATCACTCACCTAGAGGTTGTACTGGTCATATTCTGATTCATCGATATTCATTCCTTCTTCACTTTTAACTGGAATACTTCTATAAAGAAAAACTCCCTCTTTTGAACTATTTGCTGACCTAAAGAGGCAGGATAAATGTTTGATCCTTTCCTTTTACTTATCAGGTTCCCGAAGAATGATTTGGTTCCCTAGCATTCTCCAGAGGTAGGCAAAGAGGTTTTTTGTTTTTTTTTTTTCTTTTTAAGTGTCATTATGAGTTCATGTATTTAAATATGGTTGATGTATTTTCATTCATTTTAGTTATTGTTCATACTGATGTTCAAATTGCCCTATCTTTGGCCAATGGGAACATCATTATATTGACTCCCAGGTCTTTGATAGCCTCCGTCCCCTACCCCACCCCACCATGGAATAATAGAATGTTTCAGGCTCATCTTGTACCTATCCTGTGCCAGATCTGAAATCATCCATTTTAGGAGGACCCTGGTTCTTTTTGGTGGGAAATGGTAGTTAGAAACCAAAATCTTGGGGCGCCTGGGTGGCTCAGGCCGTTAAGCAACTGCCTTGGGCTGGGGCCATGATCCTGGGGTCCTGGGATGGAGCCCCATATTGGGTTCCCTGCTCAGTGGGGAGGCTGCTTCTCCCTCTCCCTCTCCCTGCGGCCCCCCTCCCCGGCTTGTGTTCTCTTTCTCTCTGTCAAATAAATAAATAAAACCTTAAAAAAAAAAAAAGAAACCAAAATCTTGCTACTAGAAGTTGCTTATTGCTACTGGGTTAGTATTATTTAAAGTTTTTTAATTGGCAGGTTTAGGAAATTTTTTAAAAAGTGAATTTAAAAATTCACTGTGTTTATTCCATTACTTCTAATTCAGTTTTTACTTAATTTCTTCAGTCTTCCATCCGTATCTCCCTCCTTCCATTACAAATAATAAATGATGCTATAGAAAAATATTCACTGATTTGTGAAAATAGCCAGAATATTTATTTTAGTGGGAAATAATCATATGTATGTATAAATCATAAATATGTATTTCATATGTATATATCAAAGATACAGAAGTTAGCAGTGATTATTTCTTGATGATGCAATTAAAAGTAATTTTTAGTTTCCTTTGTTTTTGGTTTTTTTTTTGCTTTTTAGTATTTAAAAGATTTCCATAATAAACCTATTTTATTTTTGCTATAAGAAAAAAATTGCTAAAAAACAAAAATAAGCCAGATGGTATAAATTATAATATAGTAAACTGTCTGCCAATCTTATATGTGGGTAGAATAATGATATTCTATTACATCTGTGGAGTGCTTTACAATTTACAAAGCATTTTATATCCATTGTCTTTCATGATCATCACAGTACTGTGAAGGAGTCAGAATAGGAATATTGTCTTATAGGAAAAGAAAATAGAGGTTTAAAAAGATCACATATGTTGGAATCTAGGTTAGAACTCAGGGCTCCTGCCTTTTTTTTTTTTTTTTTTTTTTTTAAGTAGGCTCCATGCCCAGTAAGGAGCCCAATTCAGGGCTTGAACTCACAACGCTGACATCAAGACCTGAGCTGAGATCAAGAGTCAGACACTTTGGGGTAAATACCCAAGTCAATCAGAGAAAGACAAGTATCTTATGATCTCACTGATATGAGGAATTTGAGAAACAAGACAGAGGATCATAGGGGAAGGGAGGGAAAAATGAAACAAGATGAAACCAGAGAGGGAGACAAACCATAAGAGACTCTTAATCTCAGGAAACAAACTGAGGGGTGCTGGAGTGGTGGGGGGTGGGAGGGATAGGGTGGCCGGGTGATGGACATTGGGGAGGGTATGTACTACGGTGAGTGCTGTGAATTGTGTAAGACTGATGAATCACAGACCTGTACCCCTGAAACAAATAATACATTATATGTTAATAAAAAAATTAAAAAAAAAAAAAAAGAGTCAGACACTTAACCGACTGAGCCACCAGGAGCCCCAGGACTACCAACTTCCTATTCAGTGTTCTCTCTCCTGCATAATATCTGGCTCTGGGTGACTGATATTATGCTTTTGTTTTATAGTAGGACAAGAAGACCCTGCAGTGTCCTGTATGCTGCTTAAAATTTTATCTTCAGAACCCTCTTTCTTTAGCATGAGGTTTGGAGGCCCATAAAAATGTCAAAACTTATTGTTCAATTTAATGTTTACTTTTAATCAAAGTAATTCATTAACATAATTTTAAAAGTCAAATATTCTAAAAGGATTTTAATGCAAAAGAGCAGTTACCTGCCTTCCCATTCTGCACCTGATGGTCCTCCTCCCCAGAGGCAGCCACTTTCAACTATTTGAGCTGTTTCTTCTGGTTTTTATTTCCGTATTACTAGATAATTTGTTTTTACTGCAATTTCTGGATTTTTAATTCTTAGATATTATCAATATACTTTTTATTATTGAAGATGATAATTTAACTGTCCTTTTCCTCTTTACACAGACTTCCCTTTTCCTCATCCTCTCAATATACTTACTTCATAATCTTTGCTTAAACATTAGTATTTCCATCATTATGATTGTGTAAAAATTATTCTCAGCTAAGCCATGTAGTGTACTATGATGACTTTCTTGTGTGAATTTTTGTTTCCTCGAGTTTCCAGTTGGTGCTCTCTCTCTCTTTTTTTCCAGATTTATGTAGTGCTTTAGGCACCTGTCACCATTTCATCCCCAAACTGTCTACCAAGTTATAAATCTTCTCTCGATACATTCCAATCCATCAAACAATCTGCCAATTTCTTTTCTTTCTTTATATTTGCTTTGATTTCTTTTTTTTTTAAGATTTTATTTATTTATTTGACAGAGAGAGAGACACACACAGCGAGAGAGGGAACACAAGCAGGGGGAGCAGGAGAGGGAGAAGCAGGCTTCCCACCGAGCAGGGAGCCTGATGCGGAGCTCGATCCCAGGACCGCAGGATCATGACCTGAGCCGAAGGCAGACGCTTAACAACTGAGCCACCCAGGTGCCCCTGCTTTGATTTCTTTTCCTTTGTCATAGAAATGTAGTTTCCCCTTGTCTCAATGGTTCCAATATGGACTGGTTGCTTTGGAAGCTTGCTGCTGGCTTTTGTTTCAGGGTCTCTTGCTCTACTGTATTCCTGGAAATTTGATTAGACTTCACACCTATTATTTATATCTTGGATTTCCAGGATCCCATGTCTTCCCTTTTTTTGTTTACCCTTCACACTGAGAACAAACATGTGGGAGGTGAAGTTCTTGAGATCTTATTTGGCTGAACACAGAATTCTAGGTTAGAAATAAATTCCCTATAATTTTAAGGACACTGATGTTTCCATTGTCCTTTTGCTTCCAGTGTTAAGAAGTTTGATATTGTTTTTGCCTCTTTATCCTGTTTTTGTGAACTTTGCCTCTCCCCCACTACTCACCGGAATTTCTTAAGATCTTTTCTTCAGAAATCACACGATGAATGTCTTCTTTCCTCCAGTGTGCTGACCTGTTGCTGGGTTCTTTTCTCCAGAAACTCTGAGGGATTTCATTGCCGATTTTCTTATTCCCTATTTCCAAAACACCTGTTATTCAGATAGTAGAGCTCATAAACCATTTCTAATTTTTTAATCTTCCCTTTCCTGTCTTTCTTTCTTTCTTTTTTTTTTTTTTGCCTTTTTGTTCTTTCTGGGAGGTTTTCTCAGCTTTGTCTACCAACCCGTTTGTTGACATTTTTATTTCTGTTGTCATATTTTTAATTTTCAGGACCTGTTTTAGTGCTTTGGGTATTTTTCTCTTTAAACAGCCTCTAGTTCTGGTTTCATGTACATATCTTTCTTTATCTAAGGATATTAATGATATATTTTGTGAAAATTTCTATGCTCCCTGCATTGTTTCTATGTTTTTGAGGCTTTAAAAATGTTATTTTGCTTTTGTGTTTATTTTTTTATTGTAAGGGCTTTGCTCAGATGTTGATCTATGACTACCCATGCCTATTTAACTAAAAACTTATTGGAAATTTTAGCATGTAAGAGCAAAATCTGTTGCCCAGTGGGCTTGCCTGTAGGATCATCTGGCTAATTTGTTGGTAATTCCTTAACAGTATCGGTAACTCTTTTCTCTCTCTCTTTTTTTTTTTTTAAAGATTTTATTTATTTATTAGAGAGAGAGAGAATGAGAGAGAGCACATGAGAGGGGGGAGGGTCAGAGGGAGAAGCAGACTCCCTGCTGAGCAGGGAGCCCGATGCGGGACTCGATCCCGGGACTCCAGGATCATGACCTGAGCCGAAGGCAGTCGCTTAACCAACTGAGCCACCCAGGCGCCCTGTAACGCTTTTCTCAAGGGCCACTCAGTTTCACCAGAAAGGAATCTTCCAGTCTTTTCCTGAGGAAGGCAAGACTGGCTGCTAAGATTTTCTAGAAGCCTCATGGGGGAAGGGATTGGGAGGCAGTCTCACTATTTCTATACAGATTTCATTTACTCCTCTCGTTCCTGTTTTCAGCACAGTATATCTACTCTTAGCTGCACTGTTTTCTACACATCCGGTTTCTTATTCACTCGTTCACTCTGGACAGTAGATGTCCAGTCATCTCCTTGTCCGAGGAGGAGGCAGGCACTCAGGAGAAGAGCAGGACACAGGAGGAGGGAATCTTAAGACATTCAACCCCACTCAGACCCCTCACTTTTAGAAGTGCCTGAGCTCCCCGTTTCTGAGCTTTCCTGGGGCTCTGCAGTGAAATGAGATAACTTGTGGGCTTTCACCATGGAGAGTTCTGGTTTACATCCTCAGGTCTGCCTAAGTCAATTATTTCTTGCCCATCTGCTTTATAGATCCAAAATCCTATTGTCACCTCTCCAATTATTCTTTTCTTTGTGGTTTTGTGTTTTGTGCCTTTTATTCATTTCTCTTTCGTTTTTGTAGGTGTTGGGGAGGGAGCAGGAGTAAAAGTCTACAGTAAACCCTCCATGAGCAGCAGATGTCCAAACCCTTCTTTAAGACCAGCACTTTAAGAGGCATTCAACTACTTCCAGGGGCTTGAGCTCCTTCTTGGAGAAGCATTATACCTCTGCTGTCCACACCCAGGGCCCTACATGAATTTTCGAGCCTAACTTTCCAATAGCAGCTAATAGTGCCTGCCTCGTTGGGTGTAGTGAGGATAACTGGGATGCTATCTAGTCTGTATTTTTAGCTCCTAGTCCTTTGAAGAATATCAGCTCTATTTTTCCTATTATGATTACTGGCAGGGTGTATTGGGGGTGGGAAGAAATTTCATTGGGTTGTTGAGGGAGAAGGAATGCACAGGGAACTAGACAAGCCTCTTTTATAAATGCTTTGGTGATAAGTTCTGGCTTACAGAAAGTAATAAGGGTAATGACAATAACTAATTTTCCTAAGAATGTATATGCATCAATCACCATACTTTATATGGTATCTCAATTAAACATCACAACATACCTATAAAGAAGTACCATTATTACCTCCATTTTAGAAATGAGCAAATAGAGGGGTGGAGATGTTCAATCACTTGGTCAATATCACACCAACAAAGATGTGGCTGATCTCAGATTAAAACCCGCAATCTCTCTAGAGCTGTTACTTGCAATACCGAGGCCAGAGCTTCTCAGACTTTGCTGCGCTCACAAATCACCTGGGCATCTGTTACCGTGCAGACTCGAGTTTGGTAGGTTTGGCATCGGGCTGAGATTCTTCTTCTCTACCAAGCTCCCAGATGACGCCGATGCTGCTGGTCCAGGGGTTGAACTTTAAGTAATGAAGCTTCAGACTGTGGTCTCTCTAAGGCAGCTGCATCGTGTGGCACCTAGTTGCCCAGGTACAAAAGAGGCCATACGAACAGTAATGGTCCCCAACTCACTGCTTCCTCCCCCAAGTGTGCCCAAGCAGGACCACCAGATACTCATTTCTCCCCGCTATAATCATTCCCCAGGAGCCCCTGGAGTGTCTCATGAGTGCTCCCAGTCCTCTCTACTGCTTTGGCTCGAGATGCTCACGTCTTTCCACCAGCTTTGAAATCACTTCAGGGTAGCCTTTCACCATTCCCACTGCTTCTAGGGCCTTCCCTGAGCATGCCACATCTGGAGCTGTAGCTAGGTGTTCTGCAACACAGGACCCTCAAGGTGCAGAAAGGCGGTGAGTTCCTTCCTGCTGGCCCTCATCAGTGTTGTGCTATGTTCCTTACAGAAATAGGGAGAATCCCCTTCCCACTCCAAGTCACCTGGATCCTCAGCAGCAGCCCTAAATTTCCCAGGTTCCTTGTGAAAATAGCCGCCAGCTGCAGCCTGTAGGCTTACTGACCTAGGGAAATAAAACTTCTGTCCTCCTGTGTCTCTTTCTCCCTCATTAGCCTCTGCTCCCAGCAATCCTAGAATTCGCTACTCTGGAAGCGAGTCTAACTCAGGCCAGCTTCCAGCTTGGGTGGAAGGGGTGATGGTCCACTGACTTGCCAGACAGCTAGCTAGGTGTGAATCTCAGTTTAGGTCCAGTTAGAACCCTGCTCCACAGATGACAAAAGGCTTAGTAAAGGAAACAAGGAGAGGCATCTCAAAGACTCAAGTACATCAGAGGGCCAATGGAAAGCACTGGAATAAGACTGGGGTCTGAGGTTGGAGACCCATCTCTGTCTCTACTTAGCTGTGTGACCTTGGACTTTTCAGTCACCCTCTCTGATTGTTTCCAAAACTACAAAAAATAAGGGGGAAGGCTCACCCTTCCTCTAATTCTCAGTTTTCTCTGTAAAGTGTAGGAGTTGGACCAAATGTGAGGTGTAAAGTGAGGGAGTTAGACCACATGAACTCAAAGTATTATGTAGAGGTTTCAAACCACAGGCTCTTGGGCTGTATTCAGCCCACAGGCATGTTTTCCTTGATCCTTACAGCATTTTTAAAATGTTGAATCAGTTGCCAGCCTTTAAAACTAAGGAGCTTTTGCATAAAATCTCATTTCCTGGCTTTTCTTGAAAGATCAGAAAACTGGCAACAAGGGTCATGCATTCCTGGAGAGCCATTATTGGCCTGAACTGCCTTGTGACTGTCCTTTTAAAGAGGCAGGTGCCAGGGTGCCTGGGTGGCTCTTCCATTGAGCATCTACCTTTGGCTCAGGTCATGATCCCAGGGTCCTGGGATCCAGCCCCGCGTCAGGCTCCCTGCTCGGCCGGCGACCTGCTTCTCCCTCTCCCACTCCCCCTGCTTGTGTTCCCTCTCTCGCTATCTCTCTCTCTGTCAAATAAATAAATAAAATCTTTAAAAAAAAAAGAGGCAGGTGCCCTCTGCACTGTCGCAGTCCTTAGCAGGCCCCTATTACCCATCTATGTTGTCTGCACAAATCCTGTAAGTTGTTACGTTAGTGTTTCCTGGGTAGTGGTTGCAGTGGATAGCTGGACAATGTCAGGTTAGTAGTACTTATCCTTTCTAAGATGCAATGTCCAAATCATAGAATGGGGAAAATAAATGCTCATATTATCGCATTGACTGTATTAATGAGACAGAGTCGGGGTCAGTGGACTTTTCTGCAAAAGACCAACGAGCATCTATTTTCAGCTTTGCCGGCCACATAAGATCACTGTTGCATATTCTTGTCCTTATTGCTTTTTGTTTGTTTGTTTGTTTGTTTCACAATCTTTTTAAAAATGTGCACATTCGGGATGCCTGGGTGGTTCAGTCGGTTGAGCATCTGCCTTCAGCTTGGGTCATGATCTCAGGGTCTCGAGGTCCACATTGGGCTCTTCGCTAGGCGGGGAGCCTGCTTCTTCCTCTGCACCCCCCGCCCCGCTCTCTCTCTCTAACAAATAAACAAATAAATCTTCTTAAAAAATGTGCTCGGGATGCCTGGGTGGCTCAGTCGGTTAAGCGGCTGCCTTTGGCTCAGGTCATGATCCCAGGGTCCTGGGATCGAGTCCCACATCGGGCTCCTTGCTCAGCAGGGAGCCTGCTTCTCTCTCTCTCTCCCTCTGCTTGTGCTCTCTCTGTCAAATAAATAAAATCTTAAAAAAAAAAAAAAGTGCTCATTCTTAGCTCTCGGGCTGTATAAAAACACGCTCCTGGGCAGCTGACCCCTGGAATAGATGATGTGAAGCACTTCCAATAATGCCTGTCAACACTGAACGTCAACCAGTGTACTTCTCGTTATCGTGAGTGAGTTCAGGCCTCTCATTCTCTGACTCTGGGACATGGGTGACTCCACAGTGCCCATCAGAAGTCCCCAGTGGCTGTTTTGATTCTCTTTGGACAACGCAGAGGGGGGCAGCATTTTGTCTGTTGAGACGCGTCTTTCCAAATAGGAAGCCCTGCGTGGGAGAGCGCTTCAAACCAGCATGACAAATACAGTGCAACTGTGTCATCACCATGAAATCTAAGCCATTGTTTAAGCCATTTGCTACAGCGCATCCCCACTCCAGTCATTCTGTCGGAAACTTTCCCCAGCAATCACAGCTGGAAGAAGAGTTGGAGGCCCTTGAAAATCGGATTCCAGGTTCTCATAACCTTCCTCCTTTGTTTTGGTCCTTTAACTCCCCGCCTCCCCATCCCCTCCAAATAATACCCCTTGCACTGTATTATTTATTGTTTAAC